AAAATATTACTCCTTTAAAAGTGACATTTTATCAAGATACTACTAAATTAAATTTACGGTAATGTGTTTAGTAAAATTATTCCTAAAGTATATTTTATAAGAAAAAATTGTATCGAATAGATGTAATGGCTACCAGACGGATTAGCAAGAAACTGCTGTAGTTCCACCTTCATACCAATAGATGGAGCCAACATTGACAAAAGCGACAAACTTTTAAAATAAAAAACTTTGTGAGCTAAAAGTTGTTGTGTTTTTTTTATTTTGTTTTTTTGCTACGGAGCCCCTCTGATGACATGGTCAAAAAAAAAGTTTAATTGTGGCCACGATGTAGTATTTCGTGCGCACGAAGTAGTATTTCGCGGCCACGCAATAAGTATAACGTGCGCACGAAATACTACTTCGTTTCCACGCAATAAGTCTAACGTGTGCACGAAATACTACTTCGTGGCCACGCAATAAGTTTAACGTGCGCACGGAATACTTAATAATATCAATAAATCCGCCCCTGTTTTCAGGCTGTTAACTGTAATGACTTATCTTGGACAGGCTGCTATGTAAACGGGCATTTAGTCCTTCGTTTAGCTATGCTGCGGTTGTTTACACTACGCCTTTTCCATCTAAAATGGCTTCTTACCAACAAATGTCACGTGACTGGCGGAGACCGACTGGGTAAGCAAATCGACCGCGCCTTAGACCTTAGAGAAGGCGAGCTCGATTTGCTTACCCAGTTGTCCAGGAATAATATTAATATTATTAATAAGTATTTTTAATTGTGGCCACGAAATACTACTTCGTGGCCACAATTAAAAAATTTTCTTGACCATGTCATCAGAGGGGCTCCGTATTTTTCAAAATGGTAGTGGCTCTAAAACTTTTCAATATTCTTGAAAATAGTGTAGTCTGGAACTTGTGGGCTGGCTGGTAGGGAGCATGGAGGGGGGATTGCTGGGCTACTGCGGCCGAGTGGCGCCCAGCGTCGCTTACACCTGTAATACATTAATTTATTATTTATTTTGATTTATTTTATGATTTATTTGTCCTTTTGTTATGTTTTCCTAGATATCTTGTACTATTGTTCTCTAGAGCAATAATCTTCCTCTATGCACTTGCTCATGTAACGTAAATAAAAACCATATTGTTTGTAAATTTTGGAAATCAGTGAAAAAAATAAATAAATTAAACAGGGTGGCTTGCTTTTCTCTTCCTTTTTTTTCTGTTTTCTTTGGCAGTGTTTACCTTTTCCTTTCAATCAACAACTAGAGTAAAATCTATGACCTGAGTTTATCATGTTTAGCTTTGTAGGCCGGAAAGCAAGTGTAGTTGAGTTCAAAGTCAGCCTTTATATCATTGCTTCTAATGATCTAAGGATATCCTCTCAGATCCTTGATTAAGTTTTTAAACAATTCGAAATTTTCTCAATATAACCACAGGGAGTTTAAAAAAGATCCAGACAATTACGTTGAGCAAAATACTGAAGTTAGCACAGGATAGGATTCAGTCTGGTTTTTCAAACAAAAAAATCTTTTCAAAAGTAGGGAGCATTTTTGTTTTTTTGTTAATGGTCGCACAAACCTTTACCAGTACAAAAATGAGTATCTCCCACTAGATGTCTCACACAAAACATGCAGAAATTGGTAACTTATTTGACAACCAAGGATTTAAAGTGTTTATCATAAGGAAATGTATGAAGATCTACTAGAAGCAGGACAATTCAAACAGTAAAAAAAAAAAAAACAGAGGAGGGTTCTAGATTTATTTGTTGTTGGTGGGGCCAGAGCTATCTCCGGGGGCTCCACAGACATGACAGGGAATTTGGTTCTTAATAATTAGTGATTGGAGTTTCTAAACGTTGAATATATATTTAAGTACATTTCAGGGATAAAAAGGATGAGTTGTTTATGTAATCTGCCATTTAGAAATAAAAATATAAAACAAAACTTGGAATATGTCAGAGTATGAATTACCATTTTGCTATATACCATACATTGTTAGCGCAGAATTTGTAATTGAAGATTTTTATTTCTCCTCTTATTTACAGTGCTGGGAGTAAAAGCCTTACATAATAATGGCTTTTGGTATTAGAGTAGTCCAACTCTTTTAAATGTTGATAACACATTTATTTATTTATTGCAAATATTAAAAAGGCCAACATATTTTTTTCCCTTTATTAAAAAGGGCCAAAAGGATATTTTTCTTCTTCTTCTAGTAGGTACAGCCATTTCCTCTGCAATAGGGGCTGCAGTGAAAATAAAGGACTTCCAGCAGTGAAGCATAAGACTTTCTGTTAGGCATCACCTTGCACATTCAAGTTATTAAACTATGATGTGGTACGTCGAGAGGTCAGATTTTGATGCTTGACCATGCCCACCTGCTTTGATGTAGAAAAATTATTTTGATAACTTAAAGTCTATATAGTTAGTTTAAAGTGTTAAACTATAAAGCTGTAGGAAATGTTCCATAGGATACAACTTGAATAAATTTGACAACATGGCACATTTGATCCAAAATCCCTGACTTCCTGTTCGGTTTAGACCATGGCTCCAAGAGACGTTTTTGTGCATCCTGGTGGGTTATACATGTGTACAAAATATCATAATCCTCTATAAACTCATGGACAAGGGCTGTTTTGTTTTTGTCTATTGAGAGAAATCCAGATTTGAAGTTTGGCCACACCCACACCCTTTGTCACAGCAAATCTTTTGATAACTTTGAATCCCTAATGCATTATGTCTTGGCTCAGTAAGTTACATATATCTAACCCAAAGGCTTTAGGAGCAGACCTAAAAGACATGGATTTGATTAAAAATGGCCGACTTCCTGTGTTGTTTGGACCATGGCTCCAAGAGATTTCTTTGTAAGTTTGGATGGGTCGGACATTTGTACCAAATTTTATAAATCCCAATCAAAGCATGGTCTGGGGCTTTTTATGTTTTTCAACAACACCCACAGGCTTTGTTGTTGAAAATTTATTTTGATATCTTTTGATCCCCAAATGCCAAAGCTCAATGTAGAGTGAATTTGAAAACTGTAACTCTAACACTCTAGGAGTTTACACAGATATGACATGAGTGAATGAGAGAAAGCTTTGAGAAGATAAAAATAATAATCTTGTTTCCTGTCCGAGTCCAACTTCTGGTTTTGTTTTAATAAATGGGGTCCAAATTGCACCTTCTGAGCCAAAACTGTACACTTCCTTTGTTCTGAGGGGGCGGGGCTTATGGAAGGCCAGCAAATGGTAATTGTTTTCTGTTAGAGACTAGGTGAGGATCAAACATGGAAGGTTTGGAGTCTCTGCAATGGTCTTTGTAGAAATATATACGTTTGTTTGTTTTTTTGCGAGATATCAAACTTTGAGACCTGGCTCCGCCCCTTCAACTTTAACAATAGGACACAATTTTGCACATGTAAATTGATACAATTTGAAGCCATTATCTCAAAATCCCTTGGTGGAGTTTGATCAAATGTAGAGGCTATAAATTGCAAAATCAAGGTCAAAATTTGTAAACATGAATAGACATTTTTAGATCTGAGTTACTCTACAAGTGAGCGAAATTCCATGTCTCTATGACAAAAAAAGGTGCAAGGGGTTGGGTGTTTTGAAAATTTAAAGGGGGCCCTGTAGCCATTTTTAATGCAACTGTTGTGTTCCATAATAATATTAAACATTCCAATTACAATAAGCCTCCACAGTGCTTTGCTACTCAGGCCTACAAATTTGAAATGCTTTCTATGCTGGGCACATTTTGTACACTGGAAAAACAATCTAGAAATAAGTAAAAATTTCTTAAATTAAGTGTATTTCACCTTAATTTGAGTAGGTAATTGAGATAGTTTGCCAATGGAATGAGTATTTTTACTCTTAAAATAAGATAATTAGATAAAATCTAATTGAAATAAGACAATTCAATTGTGTTTTCTTATCTTAAGTGTAAATTGTATTGTTCCATTATCAAAATGTCTCTTTTATCTGGTCAATCCAAGAACAAATGCACTTATTTTAAGAAAAAATGACTTATCTAGATTTGGATTTTTCCAGTATAGAACTGTTGTTTTGGGATTTTTCTGCCTAAACTTTGCATGTTGTTTGTATGTATGTGTTCTCTACTGGTATTCATTCTATTTAATTGTGTCTTTGAGTTGTGATGGACGGGCAACCTGATTGACTTCTGGTTATAGTTTGCTGAAGGATATAAGGTAGAAGGTGGATGGATGGTTTAAAAACAAGTGAAAACATGATTTGGCTATGAGGTGAGATGATCTGCAAAACTTTTAAAAGAGGATTTTGACAACCAAATAAGAGACAAATAAAACCAAACCCACTATACAATACACTCATAAAAGAAAAAATATGCACAAAACAAGTTTTATAATACAGATTTATATTATCTACAGCTGGGTGCCAATTCAAAGTAAATAGACTGGTTTGTAATCTAGTAAATCCTAAAAAGGCAGAATCAGTTATTAAAAAAAACTAAGACTCTTGCTTCATTGTGGCTAAAATAAAGCAGATTCTGTGTCACTCTAGCCGCCATACTGCTGAAATAACAAGCTGCACAGGATGAGGAAATGAAGTGGAGCAAGAGCGTGACTTCACCCCTTTATTGCCTTGCAAATCTCCCTGTGTCGAAAACACACAGCCCTTTGCCCGGACATATCAGCAGAGCGCCGGCCTGGATCCTCTCCTGACAGCTGATGGTATGTAAAACACATAGAAATACAACTGACAGATGTGTTTTCCTCAGTTGAACCAAAATGTTTCCTTTTTTTTTTTTGTTCTTTTTTAGTTAAAGCTACTAATCCCCAAGCCTCATTAAGTGGTCGCTCTTGTGTGAAAAATATGCAGCAGCCCTGCTTCTGAAAAAGCAGGAAATGAAAGTTTAGCCCGAACATGATCAGAGTTGCTCTAGTTCTTTGTGGTGATGGTAAACAGCTCCAGTAAAACCAATGAGACTTTGATTGAAGCAACTGGTAGTTAATGAGTTACTGAGCAGAAGTGCAACCTTTAGCAAGCATTTGCTGAGCTCCAGCTGTGTGAGTCATATGAGTTAGAAGAAGCACCCTGAAGATACTTTGGCTTTATTCAGCAGACAAGGCTGGGCTTTAGTTGAAGATTCTTGTTTGATTTCAACTTGTTTGATTGAAGCTGAGTTTGGTTAGTTGGGGCTAAAAAGACAGAGCTACTATGGTAAGTGGAGACCTTTTTCCTTTTACAGTTTTATTTCCGTCAAATTAAAGTCGATCTAATTTCTCATTTTGACTTAAATGAACTTTTAAACTTTAATTTCCTCTACTGGCAAACAGATCCTGTTAAAATAAGACAGATATCAAGGTCTTTCCTGTATAACACAGTAGCAGGAAGAGAAACTAGGCCATTAGGAGTGACGACTGAAGCTCCTCTATATTTGAATGTAAAACTTTCAGTTTCCAATAAATGTTTGACCAGAGCCTAACATTGCCAATGTTCTGTCCCGTAGGCTGAAGTAAACCCACAGCCGCCCGCCCAGGGCTCCTCCAATACGTTCGACCAGGTCCAGAGTCAGGTCAACGAAGTTAAAGTTATACTGAAAGACAACATCAACAAAGTGCTGGAGAGGGGCGACAGATTAGATGATCTCATCGGCAAGACGGATGACCTCCAAGCATCTGTGAGTATGAGATAAAAACAAGTGGAAACTTTACAACCTTTATACACCCTATATGAGTGATCTGAGTGTTTCCGTGGACTGAACCTGTCACTTTATGCTCCAGTGTCTTTTAACCTAACATCCTGTTTGAACTTAAATAATTCAACAATCTATACAAAACAAGAAAGAGATTAGTAATTGAAAGCTCAACACTGAGTAGCCTAATCGTCATCATTTAAAGCTCTTAAAGAGGACATTTTTAAGCTGTTGCAGTACATTAACAGGTTAAATTTGTAGGAAAACCCCCCGGTATTTGCTTCATCTGTCCATTTCCCTCATACGATAAGCACACTATGCAACAGAAAACAATTGCAAATGTTTTAGTTCATTCTAAAATAATGTTTACCTGGAAAAAAACTTTACATAAGTCATGCAAAACACCTTGCAAAGATATTCACAACCCCTAAAACATTTTCCCAATCCGTCACATCGCTACCATAAAAAGCAAGGCATTTTATTTTCATTCCCCTAAATAAAACTCAGAGAATCCACTAACTTTTTTGTAAAAAGCCTCAGAACTTTTTGTTAGAGAACATTTTTGGATAAACAGCCTCATGAACTTGAAAGAACAAAGCAGGAAAGGTTAGGTATGAAATACCCCATGGTTAGAGTGTCTACTGTACATCCAAAATGCGATCAAAATTTTCAATAAAATTACCCGAAATGCATCACTATGGAACATGGGAGAGGCGAGGTCATGCTGTGGAGATGCTTTACATTAGCAAAAGCTGGTAGAAGTCAATGGTTAGAGGAATTCAGCGAAATTCAGGCCCCGTCCACACGAAGTCAAAACGAACACGAAACGCTGATATTTTCCAAAACCTTTGTCGTAAAGACGGAGACGTAAAATAAATGTGAGCGTCCACACGAATGCATGAAAACGCTGCAAAATGTATGCCAGGCCTGTAAGTGGCGCTGTGGTGCCAAAGCAAAAATAAGCGACGAAATGTTGGGCATGTGCACTAATATTTATACATGGTTGCCCTGCGGGTCCATTTTCGTGGTTCTGTCAAATTCAGGTGCTGAACTATGTCGTCGATATTGCTCTGTTCTTCCTGGAGATATTCCAGAAGAAGAAGATTCTGTTGTAAGCCCGACAGCAGGGTGAGTAGCATTAGCAGCAACGGCGCCATTGTTGTTGTGATACTGTGTCGCGCATGCGTGTTTAGAGGCGACGCTATGACGCATGTGTGTAAAAAAAAAATATGCGGTTAGAGCGTAAAGATGGAAACGCGAAAACGGCGTTTCAAAATCTTCCCACTCTGAAGGCTGAAAAAAAAAAAAAGATCGTTTACAGACCCCCGAAACGCCGGCTTCGTGTGGATGAGAGGCTGGTTTGGTGAAAAATTTGTGCGTTTAGGCCAGGGTTCGTCTTCGTGTGGACGGGGCCTTAGAGTAACCCTGGAAGAAAACCAACTGCAATTGATTTGGTACAAAACAATGACCCTAAACAAGCAGCAAGAGCTACAATTCAGACCTAAATCTAGTTAGGAATCTGCAGCACGGCTTAGTAATTGATGTTTACAAATGCTCTTCATTCTAAGGCTTAAGCTTTTTGCAAAGAAAGAACCAGATTTCAGACTCAGGAGCCGCAAAGTTAGTTGAGACACACCCTTAAAGACTTGCAGCTGTAACAACTGTTTAATCCGAGGAGCTAAATACAAACAGCAGCCTTTTACTGCTGTTTGTGTTCCGTTGGATGAGATAACAATTTTTCTTCAATCTCAAAGTTTATAATACTTTGTTTTTTATTCATCATGCAAAATATTAAATATACCATTAAGTTTGTGTTAATAATGTGTAAAAAGTGGGAAACAATTTCCAAATATATGACTACTTCTGCACCAAACTCTGTTCAAACTTACCAGCTAAACATGCCGTAGAAAAGGAAACGGAGAATGAAGGTAAACAAGCAAACATTTTTATGAAGAGGATAAATGATGTGGTAGAAAATAATTATGGTGTAAAAAACTAGAGGGGGAAATCTGGAGAGAGACGCAGCGGATAATACGAGATAAATAGTGTAATTCACAGATAATGATCAATAATCACAATGTTCTAGATTTACAAGTGCACACATGAAAAATGTTAGAGTTTAACATTTCTGAAGCTTTTCATGCTTGAAAATCTTGAGAGATTTTGTAGATCTGTGTGCACTCATGGCTGAATGTCTGCGGGTCAGGTTACAGCTGCATACAAAGTAGTTTGAAGCATTTTGAATCTGTCTCTTCCTACTCACCTCCTCGCAGTCATACCAACATGGCTGCTTTGAAGTTGCTTAATTTCCCCTAAGCCATTTCATCTGGGTTGTCTCATCTATGTAGTTATTTTCTACATGGGAGGAGAAAGATTCTACAGGTGTTTCTTCCACTTTCTTTGGCATTGAGGTGAAAATTTTCCTTTTTTCCAGCTCTAAATGCAGTCAAATGATCATTAATCTAGTATTACAATAGGCTCTTTCATGTCTGTAAGCGCTAAAAAGAAAAGGAAGAAAACATACAAGCACGGTGACGGTAGTATTATGTTGAGGGGTTCCCTCCAGGCAAGCACTTCTGATCTATTTTTTTGTTGTTTTAGCAGGCTAATACAGATTTCTGGGATCGTTTACCAAAGGGTTCTCTCATTTAAATTAAACATTTTGTATCAAGTTTAACCAACTATTATAAACACAAAATGAAGATTTAAATATTTGTATTGATAGCTGCAGAAGGCTTTATAAAAAACAAGTATTAGCAATGATTTTTTGGAATCTCTGACCCTAAAAGTGTAATTTGATCCTTTGTGGGTTAGAAAGAACCTGTAATCAAATCCTAATCAATGCTGTATAATGATTCTAACCGAATTAATTAACTGTTCAAATAAATCATTAAAAGTCTTAAGCTAAAGTGATGCTAATGGATTAGATGCAAACATCTGAGCATAGCTGCATATTTAAAGATGTTTTATATTACAACAAAATATAGATATATTATTGTATTTTTGTCCAACTATCCCAGTTCGCTGCCTTTGTGCCTGAGGGAGTGATTGTGGATGATCTCACCAGAGCCGCTGTGTTTTGGTGGAAAATCAAATACGCTAAACTGTGTTTTTCACGGTACTGATTTTGCCGATTTTCTAATGTCTGTTTTGTTCAGTCTGGTTTGATGATCAAATAGGTCACCTATAGAGCTTAGCTTTTGGCTCCTGCTGGTTTGTGTTGAACATGCTAGCAAGGTGAAATTAGACTGTTTCTGTAAATGGAGCCTCAGGTTCCACCAGTTATTAAAGGAATAGTACACCCAAAACATGATTAGCCTTCATTTTCTACTCACCCCCATGCTGAACAACACTCTGGAGTACTTTTTTGATACACTATATTGCCAAAAGTATTTGCTCACCTGCCTTGACTCACATATGAGCTTAAGTGACATCCCGTTCCTAATCCATAGGGTTCAATATGACGTCGGTCCACCCTTTGCAGCTAGAACAGCTTCAACTCTTCTGGGAAGGCTGTCCACAAGGTTTAGGAGTGTGTTTATGGGAATTTTTGACCATTCTTCCAGAAGCGCATTTGTGAGGTCGCACACTGATGTTGGACGAGAAGGCCTGGCTCTCAGTCTCCGCTCTAATTCATCCCAAAGGTGTTCTATCGGGTTGAGGTCAGGACTCTGTGCAGGCCAGTCAAGTTCATCCACACCAGACTCTGTCATCCATGTCTTTATGGACCTTGCTTTGTGCACTGGTGCACAGTCATGTTGGAAGAGGAAGGGGCCAGCTCCAAACTGTTCCCACAAAGTTGGGAGCATGGAATTGTCCAAAATGTCTTGGTATGCTGAAGCATTCAGAGTTCCTTTCACTGGAACTAAGGGGCCAAGCCCAGCTCCTGAAAAACAACCCCACACCATAATCCCCCCTCCACCAAACTTTACACTTGGCACAATGCAGTCAGACAAGTACCGTTCTCCTGGCAACCGCCAAACCCAGACCCGTCCATCAGATTGCCAGATGGAGAAGCGCGATTCGTCACTCCAGAGAACGCGTCTCCACTGCTCTAGAGTCCAGTGGCGGCGTGCTTTACACCACCGCATCCGACGCTTTGCATTGCACTTGGTGATGTATGGCTTGGATGCAGCTGCTCGACCACGGAAACCCATTCCATGAAGCTCTCTGCGCACTGTTCTTGAGCTAATCTGAAGGCCACATGAAGTTTGGAGGTCTGTAGTGATTGACTCTGCAGAAAGTTGGCGACCTCTTCGCACTATGCGCTTCAGCATCCGCTGACCCCGCTCCGTCAGTTTACGTGGCCTACCACTTCGTGGCTGAGTTGCTGTCGTTCCCAAACACTTCCATTTTCTTATAATACAGCTGACAGTTGACTGTGGAATATTTAGGAGCGAGGAAATTTCACGACTGGATTTGTTGCACAGGTGGCATCCTATCACAGTTCCACGCTGGAATTCACTGAGCTCCTGAGAGCGACCCATTCTTTCACAAATGTTTGTAAAAACAGTCTGCATGCCTAGGTGCTTGAATTTATACACCTGTGGCCATGGAAGTGATTGGAACACCTGATTCCAATAATTTGGATGGGTGAGCAAATACTTTTGGCAATATAGTGTATCTCAAATGCATCTGGAGATCTGGGAGGCTTCTTGCTGTCTGCTGACATTCAAATAATGGAGGTCTATGGCGCCCGAGGCAGAAAGGTCCATAAAAGTCCACAAAAAACGTGTCAATATTCCTCCATACTGCTCGTCCAATGTATTCCAAGTGTCCTGAGTGGGTAGCGTCCATAATTTACTCGAAACGAAGTCATTTAGGATGTTTTTAGAGCATAAACAGTAGTGTATAGGATTTCCTGAAAGCGCGCACATGCGCGTTCACGACGCTACGGAAGCCGGCAGACCAAGCCAGATGAAAGTGCGCATTCAGCGTCTGCTCTGCCGATAATGCAAGCGTAGAAGAAGAAATGTGCTGTTTAC